AATAATAATAATAATAATAATAATAATAATAATAATAATAATAAAATTCTTTTGTGGTTTTCTTCCCTTGTCATCCTTGTCTTTCCATCTTAGATTATGTCAACACCTTCTTATCCTATACCTTTCTTCACCACCATCACCACCACCATCACCACCACCATCATCATCACCATCACCACCACCACCATCATCACCACCACCACCATCACCACCACCACCACCACCACCATCACCACCATCATTACCACCACCACCATCATCACCACCACTATCATCATCATCATCACCATCACCTCCATCACCACTACCATCATCGTCACCATCATCACCGTGGATGGATTTTAGACCACATACAGCATTCTTTTCTTATTAAGAATCAGCCAAATAAAACAGACATTCTGAAAACCGGTCATGCTATAGTAAGAAGGAAAAAAGAGTGGCATAATAAAAAGCAGCTATGTTCTGGGACATCACCTAGGGTTTTTATTCAGAAGAGCTATTTACTGGGCCAGAGAAATGACTCATCAAGTAAAGGCTCTTTTTAGACAACAAGATAATCCAAGTTTGATCCCAGGAACTCACATGAAAATGGTATGTGAGCTGGTAAGACAGTCAGTCCGTAAGGTGCTTACCACCTAGCCTAACCATTTGAGCTCAATCTTCCAGACCCACATGGTAGAAAGACACAGTCTTGCCAGTTGTGTTCTGACCTCCACACACATGCAATGACATATCGATAGACAAACAGACAGACAGGCAGACACAGACACACAAACACACAAGTTGTCCTCAGACCTCTACATGAGTACCTACATACACATACATCATCATAACAGACACAATAAATAAAGTTCACAAAAAAAAAAAATAAAAAGCTATTTTACTCTAACTGTGGCTCCTCAAACCTAAAAAAAGAGCATATGACTCTTCAAGAGACTAAACATGCCACAAAGTACAGTTTAAAAAAACACGTGTTGGGAGACACTAAAGAATTTTCACCAGCAAATTCTGAGTTGCCTCGGAGAGAGAAATAAGGCTGTGTCCCAGCCTGGCTTTAGATCTACTGCTGGTGGTTTCCAGGGCTGGCCATGGTGACTTCAGTGTAACCAATTAAAGGGACTGGTCATAAAAAGCACAGATACTACTGTCAGGCAATAAACTAGACCTTATCAGTGACAGTGGTGCACATTACAAACTTCAAACTCATTCCTTGCTCTAATCCATCAGAAACTTCCTGGCTTTAATAGGCTCTAAACGGCAGGAGCTTTGAAGTCCTGGGATTAGGGTCAGTAATGCACAGGCTGAATGAGAAGCTAAATGCAGGTGGGATGAACTCTTGTGCATCACGAATTAAAAACAAATCCAATTAATCAAATAGGCCTCAACCCTAGCTGCCATAGCAGATGACAGGGGTGGCCAATGCAGGGGACAAAGTGATGGAGCAACTGGCTAGTTCCTGTGAGACTCTCCTTTAGACTGCAAGGCTACAGGGACTGGGCAGCTGACCTCCCAACCAGAACCAGGGCTAGTTTTTGTTTTGTCTTGGTTTCCTGAAGGAGGGCTCCATATCAGAACAGAGATAAGAAGCAGAAAACTAATGTCCTTTAAACTAAGTTTTCATGTAAACAAATCAGCTGGGATGGCAGAGGGAAGCTGAGGCCTGTTTTCCCGAGGCGGATAGCCTTTGATCCTCTTGACTCCTCAGCTCTCTCACACTTGTGGCTCAGAGCGTGCCAGGGCACAGAGTTCACTGGGCCACCCTAGAATCCTATGGGTGAAATGACTGAGAACAGCAGGGGATGGGAGTGTGTGTCCACCCTTAGTCAGAGCAACTAAGGGGTGCAGGAAAGTCCTAAATGGGCGCCACCAAGCACTGTACCTCTTTATTCTTCTTACCTTCTGGGGGATTTTTATTCTGATTGTTCCAGACCACCAGCAGCTTGGAGAGACTGGGCACCTTGGACACCTCAGTGATGACCCGGAAGAGGCTCTCCACACGGTCGTAGGTGAGGACGATGGCGGTGAAGCCTTGCGACTGTGGTGGGATCAGCGGGAGGAAGAGAGGGTTGCTCACACTAGTCCACTTCTGCAAGAGGACAGGACGGTGTGGGTCAGAAGAAGCTGTAGTAATACCAGCAAGAGCTAAACACTGTTACAAGGGTCCCCTCCACACCATCTGACAGCAATGAAATGGGCACGGAACACCTGAGCTGAGACGCCATTTCCACATAGCAGAGTTAAAGCACACATCTACCTCCCCTGCCAACCTCTGAGGTGGCAATTCATGACTACAAAAGAATATGACTATAATGGCAGGGAGATGGAAGAAGAGCAGAAAGGCTAGAGGACTGGAGAGGGCCACAGGGCAGAGTGGGGGTGCCCACCTGTAACAACTGGGTGGGGAGCCTGGGAGCGGAAGCTCAGAGCTCAGGACTCACTCTGTGTAGAGGAGGGAGCTGTGGTGCTGAAAGCAGGGCTGGTTAAAAGGCTGTGTCAGGAAGTGGGACTCCAGGTCACAAGCCCTCCCTTCCTCCAGCTCAGCCAGGTTGACTCTCCGTAGAAATGGATGGGATCTCCAGACAGGGACACAGGCATGGGAGGAAAACTCAGGGTAAAAACTCCAGTGTTGAGTGAGGAGCCCTATCCTGCCTTCCCTACTCTGTTCCCAGCCATGTGGCTGTCTTGGCACCTCCAGATCTCAGGGAAGCCCTCAGGCAGTACTTGGGTTCACAAAGACCTTCTGATCAGCTCTTAGTGGCTCCCTCCTAATTATAAACAGATTCTAGAATCACAGACAGTTCAAGAGCATCTTCAACAGACTAAAGGAATAGACTAAGCTCAGACAATGGACACACAGAAACAAAACTACAAATGATATCCCCAGGGAGAGAAGAGTTTTCACCCATGAAAAAGCTATTTCTATTTTAAAATATTTATCAAAGATTAGAAAGAACTCTTGGATATTAAAAACCATGAGAGAGAGAAAAAAAAAAAAGAGAGAGAGTTTGTTTAAGGGTAAGGTTTCTAAGCTAAAAAAAGGTAAAATATTCCAAGCCAGATTTTAAAGAGAGAGAGAGAGAAAACAGGACAGAAAAGAAGAAAAAAACAAGACGGTAGAACATTCATTTCTGTCCCAGAAAAACAAACAAATGAACAAAAAAGCTTCCAAACCACAGAATATGAAAAAGTGAATCTATCAAGAAATTAAGTATGGTTTTAGTATATGATGGGAAAGGAAAAAGCTTCAGGAAGAAAAAACACAGGGGCGTTTAAAATATAGAGAGAAATAGACAAAACAGAACGACAAAACAATGAAGCAAGTCGCCATTTCTGCACAGGGGAAGCAGGGACACTCTCGGCAAAGGGGAGGGTTATGAAGATGAATTTGATGGACAAGTCTTAAACTCTTTCCATAAATTAGAAATTTAGTCAAAATAAAGTTTTGAAAGTAAGAGAAAAAGATAATAAAAGAAATGCAATCTTTTATGTACCATTAGAATGTCAAATAGTTTAAATATAACAATGTAAATAAAATTATGCTGTACTAACGACAGATAATAAACTATTATTAAAATAATCTTACACATTTTAAAGGCTTCCTTGGAATGGAATTCATGCTCTCTACAACCCACCCATTCCAAGAATACAGCAGAGTTGCACTGTACTTGAGAACTGTGCATCCCACACTCCCTCTCACCCCACATGCACACACATACACTATACATACACAGAATACAATGGTCCTGCATAGTACATTAAAAGACTGATAAAATATATGCAACACTTCCCATCTAAGTGATTTTAAAGTATATACAAAGTGTTATTAACTAGACCCACAATCGTATGCTAGCATGCTAAAAGCCCACCGGGAGGAGAAGGGACAAAGTCCCATCTGTCATGATGGCTGCCCTGCACTTCCCTACAGCCATTAGCCTCGGGATTCCCTGGGTGCCCTATCAATCTCATCTATGCCATTGATAGACACCCATCACCACATGTGATAACAGCTGTCTGCCAGATGTGACAGTGCAGGCAAGGAAATGTACACAAACACATGGAGTACACATGAGGCGGGGACTCAGGGAGTCTGAATGGGATCCCTGCAGCCCTAATATGACCAGGATATTAAGGCCTGTGTGGCCAGAGATGGCCGTCATTAGACTTCACAGCCAAGAGAGCCATGACATTGTACTGACTCTGAGCTGCAGTCTGGGGACAGTGGTGATTACATCTGTTTCAAGTCTCAGTCTTCATCTTGTCCTGACTTCTGGGGAACTGAACAAGTAGTCCTCCAGAACCATTCAGGTGCCCTCTGCCCTTACCGTCCCCCAACCCACATGCTCAGAAATGATATACCTTAAGGTGCACTTGAAAACCATAACTTGAAATGGAAAAAAAAGAGAGGGCGTTTTTCTAAAAGAAGCATGTAAGATTATCTATCTAACGTGTGGAACTAGGTGAGTCTCAATGAGTGGCACCTAAGTCCATGCACAGGGTTTAATAAGCGTTAGCTCATTTGAAACTCACAACCCGAGACAGGACTGTTCTCATCACAGGTGATGGAAGTTCCAGGCCTGAGACCACAAATTGTGTTCAAGGAGAGCTAACTTGTCAGTGATAGAACCTGGATAGCCCAGGCAACTTGACTCTGGAAGACCAGCCCCTCTCAGTTCTACACACACACTCAGCTGGGTAGGGCTTCAGGAAGTAGGCGGAAAGGGAGGCCAACATTCGATATATCTACCTCCTCACTAAGACAAAAGTCCTGAAAATTCTTGATCCTCATTATCAATTCTAGGCCAATAAATGAGAATCTATCCCTGAGAACCTTGACTGCAAAAAAATACATACAAAAACACACCGCACATACAACCCTGAGACAAAGTGGTCACATAAATTTGCAAAGGTAAATATCCCACAGACACAGAAGGAAAATCGATTAAGACAACAAAACAAGGTCTGTGCTGTGGGAGGAGGGACAAGCCAATGCACTTGGACGCCTGCACAGCATGCAGAGGAGGAGGCCCAGAGACATGCAAAGCCAGCTTCAAAGAATGGGTGCCCTGGAATTTAACCCGAGGCACCCTGAAGGTACCTGGTTCTGATTTCAAGGTGCTGCCAGGGGAAGCTGACAGATTTCGTCCCAGGTGTCTGGTTGGAAGAGGCAGTCGGGAAGGAAAGAAGGAAAGGGTTTGCTGGGAAGAGCTACCATTTCCCATACATCTGGCCTGGATCCCTAACAGGGCTGGAGCATCAGGGAAGGCAGCACATGCGGGGCAGATGGAAAGGAGCTTAAGGAACTGAAATCTCGCCAGCCCCTTCCTGGAACTGCAGAGACTGAGATGAGCAAGGAGGCCCATGTGAGCTACAGACCCACCAGAGACGGATGCACTGCCAGGGCTCACCCCAGTGACTGCCAGCGTGAGTCAGCACATTTGGAGAGAGGTTGGGAATCAGGCCTCAATCTGAGCAGGGTTTCTCTTACTTAGCTGTGCAACTTGGGCAAAGTACTTCATGTCTTCTGTGCCTCAGTTTCGCTATTAAATCTTCATGATATTGTTGTTACACTGGGCAAGTGAAGCCAATGACTGACCTCGTGTAGCTGTTGTTCACATCTCTCAAAAGTGGGGCAGTCTAAGTAATCTCAGGTCTCCTCAGCACCAACCCTATTACTCCTCCAAATACACAATTTTTATTTCCACAATCTGTTCTTTCCCTTCTGAGCCTCTGTTTGAACCACACTAAAGGCTCTGTGTGTGAGGGTAAGAGACATAACACCCAGTGCCTGCAACACTTTGGATCCCATGACCCAGGCTCCACTTCGTTTGTCCCCTATGCAGAGGCAGGAAGCCCGGATTTTGAAATAGTTTCTGAATTGATTAATTCATCTTAGAAGTACTTTCCAAGAATCTCACCATGCTCAGAAATATAGTATATTGCAATATTTAAATGAAGCGGAGGTCTTGCCAATGATCAGCATTATGACATAATAAAACAATTTCTGTCAGTAGCTATTTCCTCATCTTTAAGAATGGGACTATGACAGTACCTATTTCCCCGTGGGATGATGTTTAAATGAGAAGGTGTATGCAAACACTTAGGATAGAATACATGGCTATTAGCTCAAAGCAAACATGAAACAGACCCTGATCCTCCCACTGTGTTTCTGTCTGCTACAGTGAGTTGGCAGTGCAGAAACCATTCCTACCAGGGTTGTTTCAGGAACAAATTCATTACGTCTGCATTTCCTAATCATATTCTCCAAGCCTCACTCACACAACAGTGAGGTAAACTGGGTGGGAGAGCCAGTAGGGTAGAAAGACAAATTACCATGCTGAGCCAGCAGACAGTACAACGGAATCAAACAGGATCCCACCTCAGCAAGCAGAGACCCAACAACACCCCCTTACCCTGGGGAGGCAAGCTGCAGTAGGGACAAGCAGGAGGGCAGCTCTCTGAACAGCTTGTGCAGAAAGCTCAGCAGACGGGGAGGAGCCTGGATCCTGCGGGGTGATGTCTGAAGGGGATATCAGAAATACTGAAGCCATAGTGTGAGCATGAGAAACTCTATGACAGACCTTTTCAGCTCTACAACCGGCTTACTTGTTTCTTTTTAAGCTTTCTTCTCCTGAATGGTGTTTTACTGATAAATGAACATGGCTACCTTTAAAGTTCACAGGTAGTTTGTCCTGGCAAGGAATGGGCTTCTTAAACACAATCCCATTTGGCTGCAGAGCTCTGCAGCGGGGTAGAAAAAAGGCAGCTCTTAATTGGGGCTCATGCCTTTGCAGAAGCTCTGTGCTACTGGGGTAAGGTCAACAAACCAAGCCCAGAGAAATATCCCGCTGGAGAGGGACATTTCAAAAATGGCATTTAGTCACCTCTGAAATACCTTTCAGGACTGACCCCTGCTGGCTGGTCACAGAGAGTGTCTACAGTCTGGGACCTCTTGACCCCACTTTCTGCAGGAAATCAGGCAAATTCAAACCTCCATAATTTACTCAAGACTTTGCCTTCTACCAGGAAAAAGCAAACAATGCTGGCAATTAATCCTGGAGGCTGATTAGGTCTCCACTATGGCAAGATGCACCCAGCAGTAGGACAGGAAAGAAGGTGAAGCCATTGTGAGTTAGGACAATAGGTACCAAGGCAATTCCCAAACCCATGATATCACGGGAAACATTATGAGGAGGATGAAGAAGTAGGTGTTGCTTCAAAGCACTGGCTTTGCCCCAGATGCCTGGTTCTTCTCTTATCCACCCTCTACTCTGCTGGCCTTAACCCGACAATAGGTCAATAGGTATTTGCTACAGAAGTGCCAAGAAGAAACCTTCCGCTGTTAAACAGAAGTCACACAGAAGTAGATTATGGTAGCCACGGAGACTGTCTAGTCTCAGTGCCAGCCACAGAGAAGAGCCTGCTTTCATGTCAGTGGAAGGCTTGAGGCTCCTTCCTAGCAGACTCAGGTTTCAGGATGTCTTACAAGGGAGGCCAAGGGAGAGTGAGGTTAAAGTCAAAGGTAATCAAATGATTTCTCTTTCAAAAGACTCAACCTCAGGCGACTAGCTTGCACACGGAGGACGCTGTCCCACCCAGTCCCTTGGCGGCCCTGTCCTGAAGTTCGTAGGATCAAAGATTATAGTAGCCCAAAGTCATTTTGGCCATGGTTACTGTGCAGAAACAAAACGACCTGTGTTAGCCATTCTGAAATGATCTCGCTGCGTTTACCTGGGGGCTGTAAGAATCAGGAGGGAGAAAGACATGTTTCATGACCAATTCCAGGTCTCTGTCAATCTGACCAAACCCAATACCAGCACAGAAGACAGGGAACGCGGGAAACTCAATTCCCATTGCTTGCCCCGTCAGAGATGCTTCATGTCCCTCTGTATAACTTCATTCAGAAACAAGAGACGTGGACAGACATTTGAGTCGGCCTATATTTGATGTAAACAGAGGTATTTTCCTGAGTGAAAAGTGAGATGTCAGAGAAGAGAGGAAGAGAGAACCGGCTGCTACACAGAAGCCTGGAGCCCATGTAATGAGCCGCCTTACCTATTCCTACCTTGATAGAAACGGCAGTCTTGTTGGTTGTTTTGAAGTTATCAACCCTTACCTCAATGTGGTTTCAATTATGAATTACCAGACTAAAGGGGGGGGGGCGGAGAAAGCTTTGATTTATTCTTTTTTGTTCCAATTATGCATGATGTGTTTCCACAGAAGACTTTGAAAAGTATTTCATCATGCCTCTTATCCTGCAGTGGTCAAAGGGCAACACTGACAGAGTTAACTCTTTCCTGCCTCACCCAGGTTCAAAGAGACTGTGGCTGGACATGGGCCAAGGCTTCTAAAGTGAAGGCAGCACAGAGAGGGTTAAAAGCTTGCATCATGCTACTCTCTCGCAGAAGGGTGGTGTCCCCTGTCTAAATGGTGAGATGATATTTATGTTAATGGTGACTGGGAGATATGAAAGGGGCAATCAGTAATGTGGCCCATTCTGCCTTAACCATTAAACCTCTAGAGCCCTGACTAACCACAGCTCTCTTTCAGAGTGTACTGATGGGCTTCAAGCAAGATTTCTTAGTTCACAGAGGAAAGATCTGAAGATAAGTCTGAAGTCAACCTGCTGCCTACCAAATACTAACTGGCTGTTCTGAAAAACAAGAATAACGCTTGAGGCCAAATGGCACTGATGAGGCACATACATAGAAGATAAAGACTGAAGGCCAGAAGACTAAGGCAATGTCAACCCTGACGACAGCAGCTGCCAGTCCAGTCTGCAGTTCCTGCTGCCCGTCTCCAGGCATTTCTTCTTAAGCTTCTTTCTGACATCTGACCACATGTACCTCCCCTTCTCTGTCCGAAGACACTGGGAGCCACAGTGGTGAGGGTAAATTCACCCTTGTGAAAAGCTTGTCTCTGTCCTCTGGACGTACAAGATTGTCTTTGGAGACTGGGTTCTCAATTGCCTCCTAACTGGCATTTATATGTATAACTTGCCTGTGGTTTGTTGTGGTCTTCCTTGGCCTGAGATCATACGACAGTTCTGCAAACTCTCAGCCATGGTCCTTTCCAAAAAGCCTCCCACTTCTCTTCCCCTGCAGCTCCCAGTGTCAGCTGCATACCTCTGTATACCTGTTTGCACATCACTTCACAGTTTCTACCTCTGTCGCTCTGGGTCGACTACTCTAGTCTAAACTGGAAGTCTCAGCAGCTGTTTCTGCTGCTCTCACTCGGGCTTCAAGAGTTTGTGGGTTCCGATGGTGAGCTACTCACTAGAACTTTACTGGAAGAACTACGACCCAGACTGAGGAGAAATTCCTCACAACAGGGTCTGGTGTTACAAACATGCTCTGTCCAGTTCCTCCCAAAGCTTATTGGACTAGCCTCATGGTGTGAATTTGGCCCACAGTCCACATGTGGTGGAGGGGTTGTGAGTACAGCTCTCAGTTCTGGGCCAATCTAGGCAGGTTACTTTTTCATGTCACCAAGACACAGCTCTCTATGCCTTGATGTAGATGGGTCAGAGGTAACAAATCCTGCACCTTCATCCCCCATTTCACACAGTGATCAGGCTGAGTTTTCCAATCAATAAAAAAATGTAGATTTCTACACTGAGTCCTTGCTACGCACCCATCCTCCCAGGCACCAAGGGCCAGTTTATTTTGGGGCTTAGCTTCTTTTCATGCCAGTTCAGCAACAGGTTAAAACTGATCCACAATACGTACCTGGTAGTCTAGTTACTCATCTGGGAAGAGTGCTTCTACATCACATGGAAAAGTTAGTCATGCACCACCATGTTCATTATTTAATTTGAGGGCCAAGTTTGTTCATAAGCTGAAAATAATTCCCATGAAAATTTGGCAGCAACTATATTAGATGAAATCTCAGAGAAGTAATCAAAGAATTCCCATATAGGACAGGCCATGTGCTTCCTCACTGAAGAAGTGAGGTGACACAGCGGTCTGAGGAACGACGGTGAGGATGAGCCTGTAATCTAGGGGTCATAGCAGGGCTTCGTGCATTCTAGGCAGACTACCACTGACCTACATGCCATCCCAGGAAGAAGGTCCTGAAATAAACATGTCTCCCTTTCTTTGCTTGTAAGAACTGAGTGAGCAGAATGCTACTGTTGGGGGTGTAAGGACAAGACTACTAAATATGCCAGACAATCACCTGGATACAAAGAACATCCCTCTGTAAATTTCAACTTTCTGCTACAGAGTCCCATCCAATTCTAAATTCATGTTTCCATGCGATACAGCACTATATATCCTGACCTCTGTATGTGTGGGCCTTGCATAGATCACTGAATCTGTAATGAACGTGTAGAGACTTTCCTTTCTTGTTCTTATTCCCTGAGCAATAAAGTAAAATCGATGTTTGTAAAGCACTTACACGTAGCCAACCATTAGACGCCATCTAGAGATTATCTGTCTACAAGAAAACGTGCACAGACTGTGTGCAATTACACCACTTTACACTAGGATCTAACCATCAGTGGATTTTAGTACCCACAGGGACCAATCCCCCACAGATGCTGAGGGTCAGTTGCATTAGTGCCTGTCTATAAAAGAACAACTTTTTAAAGTACTGTGCCATTTATAAAAATGCCCTTGTAAATTATACCTCTAATTTTTTACAATCATTCCACTCAAGAATCATCCTACATGATTCCCACTTTACCAATAAAGACAAGAAATTTCAAAGAAGGAAGAAACCTACTCAAGATCAAACCAGTGAACACTCTTGAACTCAGATCTGATTCCAAAATGTTCTTTTCTTTGAAAATTCAGGCACCAATAATCAGGAATTAACTGCGATACTCCTCTGCGGCCATGAGCATGCTGAAGCCCAGCCCTACAGACTACCAAACTGTTGCAGGGGGTGAGTCCCTCAGTCACCTCAAGTCACTCAGATCATGAGCAGTAAAGGAGGATTACTTTACACAGTTCAGAAACGTCTGGGTTGCACTTAGCTTACTGAAGGCTCAGGGGTTAAACCCACCTGCCCGCCTCTTGAAAATTCCTGCTATTATGTGAGGCTTAGCCACTTCAATCTTTCCTCTATAGAGCTCCGAATTTGCATTTGGCTAGATGCCCACCCTTCATTTATAGTGCCAAACTACTGTCAAGAAGAGCAGGAAGGGTGGCCACTGATTGCTTTTCAGGTAGTAGAGGAAAAAGTTGACATTTCATCTTCCTATTTCTTGGAAAGGAAGGCAATCATTTATAAGAACCCTCATCTGGCTGTGGCCTCCATCAGTGGGATGGACAGAAGCCAGTGAGACAGCTCAACATAAGCCATATTAAAAGAATTTGGAATGAGCAAAGAGAGGATTCCAGATGTTGATACTTTCAATAATTCATGAGTTATAACAGTCTGCAAGCAATAAATTTCACTAAATATATCTATGATATGACTGCTTAAGATATTGGCAAAGATAACAACTATGGATTTTATTGGTTTACCATTTGATATATCAAAAATAACAATTCCACTGTTTGACAGCGATGTGCACAAGATTTGGATCCGTTTTAGGATAAAGTCTTCACACACAACCATCACCCCTTGACCCATTACTTCAAGGATACTAACAACAGTTGAAAGAAAGACCTCCATGAAAAACTCCATAATTTACTTGATTCCAACAAACAAGGCTCACTTATAGTCCAAAGACAGCAACTGAGACCACTAACCCACTGCTTCTCATGAGAGGGTAAGCAAGTTTACAATCTTACCTAACTATCCCAAGCTTGGAAAATTCCAGCAGTTTTCAGGAACTCATGTGTAGACTCATGTGTTGGCAGCCCACTGGCTCTATCAGCAAGTTCGGCTGTAAGGTGGGAAGATTTCACATGCTCTCCTGGGAGCGATTAAATTACAGCTCATGACATTTGAGCTCAAAGCACCAGCACAGTTACGACCAAGAAAGTCATTTTTTGTATGACTGTGAGCAGACAGGAGCGCAGCACACAGGGAAAGCTGGTTAGGTGTGGTAAGCCTCCACAACACAGCCACTCTTAACTCTCTGGAATTTCACTAAGGCGGGTGTTTTGTCTACTGTTTTCCTCTGTTTCTTCTTGGGGGGTGGAAGGAAGAAGGCATGAACCCGCAGGGCAAACAGGACAGAAAAGGAGACAATGATGGATCAGGGTCTGGCAAATTTGTGGAAGCTGAAACACACGGAGTCTTTCTTTTCAAAAATCCTCCTGCTGTAAAACACATACAAATCCAGGATGAAATATAACAAAACTCCTTTCAACCTGCAGCTGAGGCCGCAGGAAAAGGAAAATCCCTGGTCCAAGAACAAAGCAGAAACTCAAGGCGAGTGGAAGACACTGGAGCTGGTGGGCACAGGCTATGGCTATGTGCAATGAAGCTCAGCTTCAGCAGCAGGAGAAGCCAGCTGCTGGGAGGCACAAGCAACAGAACACAGTCCTCTTCCTAGACCTGAGTTCCCCCTGCCAAGTTTAATGGAAGGTAGCATGCATGCAGGCATGGGTTTAACAGAGTCTGTGTGAAGGTTTGGATACTCAAGCTGAGGAGCTGGTGCAGGAAAGTGAATTTATCTCTACCTCTAGAATACCTGAAGAAGCATTAATTTCTTAATTAATAAATTAACAATAAAGAAATGAAGTAAAACAGAGTGAAAAGAAAGTCCCCTCTTAGCCCAAATTGTTCATCATTTCCAGAGAAAACCTCATCAAAGATGAACTAACTCACACTCCAAAAATATGAACACTAAGGAAATAATATAACCAAAGCAACAGTCAGGTGGCCAGTGACAAGATGAGACCTCTCTAGGAATCCAAAAAGCAGGAGCAGCAGAGACTATGAAGTAAATGTATTGGATGCTGCAAGACAAAAGAAACTAAAGAAAGTCAGATGGGTTCAGAGTTCAAGGTCAGTTTAGGGTATAGAGTGAGACCCTGTCTTAAAAATAAAAACATAAGGGCCAAGAAGACAGATTTGATTAAAGTAACCAAAATTAATTTCTACAAATAGCCAATGAATTTTAAAACACTGGATAGATTTTTAAAAAACCATACCTTAGTTAGAGCTGAAGAAAGTGGAGGATGGCTGTGAAAACCTCATGCTATGTGGCTCAAGAGGTATGCAAATGAGGACAATCTGAGAACCAAATCAAAGCCAGCAAAAAAGACAAAAGCAGGAGAAAAAGCTGCACACAAATTTAACAAGCTTCTAGAAGGAAGGGTTAGTAAGAAATACAGATGTTTAACATTCATTTTCCAAAATAACTAGCGACAGGACGCTCAGGTTAAAGGGGAAACTCAGCCCCCAAAGCAGAGAACTAGGAGGGGCTACTCAGGCAGGACCCATGCGGGATTCAAATGACAGGCTGCAAATTTGAAAATAAAAGAATCTTTACAGCTTTAAAAGCCATTATTTCCCTCATATGACACATAATAGAGGAAACAGTAATGAGACCCTGGGAAAGCCTGGAAGAAACATGTGATCCAAGCCACCATCACAGCAACGGGACAAACTGATGCTCGGTGTCCTCTAACATGACAAGATCACATACTTTTGTGATATTACTGGCAAAAGTGCAAACTTGGATCTAACCAGACAAAAGAATCGGATACTTCAAACTCAAAAATGTCTACGAGCCCTTGGGTGCCTTGTCATTTGGGTGGGTGTTGATTTCCTGCAGCTTATCCTGTGTGTAGCTTTGCTTTTAAATAAAGTTCCCTTGCTGTTTCGCAAAAGAAGGTGTGTGTGTGTTAATGACAAGTTCTCTTCCAAATATTCAAAAATGTCATCTTGCAAGACAAAGAATGAGAGATTGCTCTAGACCTCAGGAGTGAAAGCTACAGAAGTGAGTGCAATGGTGGTTTCTTTTGCAGTGGTAGACATTATCAGGACAACAAAGTCTAAGTACTATAGTATTATTCTGATGGTAAGCTAATTTTATATGAGAAATATTCAAGAGTAAAGGTACATTATACTTACACCTTCTAGAAGGTTGAGGAATATACCTGAACATATTCATATAAAAATGCAACTGTGATAAATTATTCATACAGGTAAAGGAATATATAAAAATCACTACTTTTAAAAACTTCAATCCTGAACTGTATCAAAAAAAAAAAAAAAACAGTGCCAAGGCTTCAGATCAGGGTCATAGCATTTGCCTAGAAACCCACAGCCTCAGAAAAAGAAAGAAAGAAAGAGAGAAAGAGAGGGAGGGAGGGAGGGAGGGAGAGAGGAAAGAAAGAAGGAAAGAAGGAAGGAAGGAAGGAAGGAAGGAAGGAAGGAAGGAAGGAAGGAAGGAAGGAAGGAAGGAAGGAAGGAGATATTTAGCCAAGTGTGAGGGCATACACCTACAGCCCCAGGGCTCATAGGTCGGAGACAGAAGGAACATTTATGCTCAAGAATTCTAGATCAACCTAAGCAATAGTAAGTCTCAAACCCCCCAAAACAACAAGCAAGCGTCAGATTAATAATGGATGATATAGCAATCTATCATCAGTCAATCAGTCAATTCTATGCTTTCTAACAGTGATGATGACAAGAAGACAGACATGAAGCTAAGTGGAGATAGTCAATAAGGACAATTGGTCAAAGATCCCTTAAATCTAAAGTACAGAAAGGCCAAGCCCATTCTCAAGTTTTGCAGAAGGAAAGATTATTCTGTGGGACAAATGAAGCCGAGAGATTCCAGACTCACAATTGTTAAGACCAGGAGACAGGGTAAGGTACAATCTATAAGATGAAGAGTGAGGTCTGTCTCCATTACTCAGTCCCCAAATGCCTGGAGCCCACACTTGCCCATCCTTTCTCCGACCTTCACCCTGGGCACAAAGATGACTCTCCAGAGCAATAAACCAAAAGAAAAAAACTATTAACATCAACGTTTGTGCAAACGCCTGACATGAGTGCAGCCCATCACTGCCATACTCATCCAAGCCCAGCACTTCCATCAGCTTTCCGTGACTCTCTCACCAGAGCTGATGCCACAACTGGCCAGGCAGACAAAGAAATCTTTCACTACAAAAGAGCAAATAAAAAATTAGAAAAGAAATAAAGGAAACAATGTAAGTAAATAAAATCACAATATCTTCAGAGGTGGAAAATTATGTACCATTAAAATAAGAAGAACTGACATAGTTTTGTGTGTGTGTTTTTTTAATCAAAAGAGAAATTAAAAGATAAAGGAAGGAAATGTCAGAGAAATGAGAACAGAAAGACGGGTTCGGCAAGAAAAGAAGCAGGACTAATCTACACATTCACCATCCAAGTGACAGACGCTGCAGAAAGAGAGAGGAGAGGACAGAAGACAATAACCAAAGGCAGGAAGAAACGAGGCAATGCCTCTGTGCTGAAAGGCATGGACTTCCGGCTTGAAAGAGCTTGAATTAGCACTGCCAGGAAAAGACACTCATGCAAGG